TACTTTTAACCCTCCCCCAAATCTACACACGTGTATTTCACTTGTAGAGGCCTGTCGATTTGGACAGTGCTTTGGTTAGAGATCTGGTTCATATTAAGTTCTCGCGCGTTTAGAGATGTGGCACACTGGCATTTAAGGTGCGGGGATCCCAACCATGCTTACCTAACTTTTTAAAGATGCTACTTTTAGCCGTCCCCCAAATCTAAACACATGTATGTCACTTGTGGAAGTCTATTGATTTGGACAGTGTTTGGGTTTGAGATTCTCGCCCATATCAACTTTTTTCTCTCTCGTAAGTTCTCGCGCGTTTAGAGAAGCGCCACACTCGCGTTTTATTGCGGGGATCCGAACAAATGCTACTTTTAGCCCGCCCCCAAATCTACACACGTGTATTTCACTTGTTGGAGTCTATCGATTTAGACAGTGCTTGGGTGAGAGATTCCCTCGAAAATAAACTTTCTTTTCTGTCGTACGTTCTCGCGCGTTTAGAGATGCGCCACACTCGCGTTTTAGGAGCGGGGATCCCAACCAATGCTTGCCTAACGTTTTAAAGATGCTTCTTTCGGCCCTACCCGAAATCTACACACGTGTATTTCACCTGTTGAAGTCTATCGATTTGGACAGTGCTTTGGTGCGAGATTCTCGCCCATATCAACTTTCTTTCCTCTCGTAAGTTCTCGCGTGTTTAGAGATACGCCACTCTTGCTTTTTAGGTGCGGCGATTCCAACCATTGCTTACCTAACTTTTTAAAGATGCTACTTTTAACCCTCCCCCAAATCTACACACGTGTATTTCACTTGTGGAAGTCTATCGATTTGGACAGTGCTTGGGTGAGAGATTCTCGCCCATATCAACTTTCTTTTCTCTTCTAAGTTCTCGCGCGTTAAGAGATGCCCCACACTTGCGGTTTTGGTGTCGAGATCTCAAACTATGCTTACTGGACTTTTTAAAGATGCTAGATTTGGCCCTTTCTTAAATCTACACACGTGAATTTCACTTGTGGAAGTCTGTTGCTTTGGACAATGCTTGGGTTGGAGATTCTTGCACATTTATTTATTTTTTTTCCAAAATGCTAGTTTTGGCCCTTCCCCAAATCTACACATATGTATTTCACTAGTTGAAGTCTATCGATTTGAACAGTGCTTGGGTGGATATTTTTGCCCAGATCAATTTACTTTTCTCTTGTCTGTTCTTGTGCGTTTAGCTATGCGGCACACTCTAACTTTTGGTGTCGGGATCTTAAAGTATGCTCACTGGGCTTTTTAAAGATGCTAGTTTTGGTCCTCTCTTAAATTTACACATGTTTCTTTTTTACTTGTAGGAGTCTTTCAATTTGGACAGTGCTTGGGTTGGAGATTCTCCCCCTTATCAAATTTCTTTTCTCTCGTAAGTTCTGGCGCGTTTAGAGGTGCGCCACACTCGCGTTTCAGATGCGGGGATTCCAAACAATACTAACTTTACTTTTTAAAGATGCTACTTTTAGCCCTAACCAAATCTACACGCGTGTAATTCACTTGTGGAAGTCTATCGATTTGGACAGTGCTTGGGTGAGAGATTCTCGCCCATATCAACTTTCTTTTCTCTCGTAAGTTCTCGCGCGTGCAGAGATGCGCCACACTCGCGGTTTTTTGTCGGGATCTCAAACTATGCTTACTGAACTTTTTTAAAGATGCTAGATTTGGCCCTCTCTTAAATCTACACATGCGTATTTTTCACTTGTGGGAGTGTTTCGATTTGGACAGTGTTTCGGTTGGAGATTCTCGCCCTTGTCAATTTTCTTTTCTCTCGTAAGTTCTCGCGCGTTTAGAAATGTGCCACACTCGCGTTTTAGGCGCGGGGATCTCAAGCAATCCTTACTTAACTTTTTAAAGATGTTACTTTTAGCTCTCTCCCAAATCTACACACGTGTATTTCACTTGTGGAAGTCTATCGATTTGTACAGTGTTTGGGTTGGAGATTCTCGCCCATTTATATTTTTTTTCTCTCGCTTGTTTTCGCGGGGTTAGCGATGCGGCACACTCGCGTTTTAGGTACGGGGATCCCAAGCAATTCTTACCTGACTTTTTAAAGATGCTAGTTTTGGCCCTTCGCCAAATCTACACACGTGTTTTTCACTTGTGGAATTCTATCGATTTGGACAGTGCTTGGGTTAGAGATTATCGCCCATGTGAATTTTCTTTTCTCTCGCGTGTTTTCGCGCGTTTAGCAATGCGGCACACTCGCGTTTTTGGTGTGGGGATCTCAAACTATGCTTACACAACTTTTTAAAGATGCTACTTTAAGCTCTCTTTCAAATTTACCCACATGTATTTTACTATTGGAAGTGTATTAATTTGGACGGTTCTTGGGTGAGAGATCATCGCCCATATCAAATTTCTTTTCTCTAGTAAGTTCTTGCGCGTTTAGATATGCGCCACACTAGAGGTTTTGTTGTCGGGATCTTCAACTATAATTACTGGACTTTTTAAAGATGCCAGATTTGGCCCTCCTTTAAATCTACACACGTGTATTTCATTTGTGAAATTCTGTCGCTTTCGACAAATGAATGTTCTAGTTGGAGATTCTCGTCCATGTTTATTTTTCTCTCGCGCGTTTTCGTGCGTTTAGCGATGCGGCACACTCGTGGTTTTGGTGTGTGGATCCCAAACTATGCTTACGGGGCTCTTTAAAAATGCTAGTTTTGGCTCTTGCCTAAAGTGTATTTCACTTGTGGAAGTCTATCGATTTAAACAGTGCTTGGGTGAATATTTTTGCCCATGTTAATTTACTTTTCTCTTGTCTGTTCGCGCGCGTTTAGCTATGCGGCACACTCGCACTTTTGGTGTCGGGATCCCAATCTATGCTTACTGGGCTTTTTAAAGATGCTAGTTTTAGCCCTCTCTTAAATTTACACGTGTACTTTTTACTTGTGGGAGTCTTTCGATTTGGACAGTGCTTAGGTTGGAGATTCTCGCCCATGTATATTTTCTTTTTTCTCGTGTGGTTTCGCGCGATTAGCAATGCTGCCCACTTTCGTTTTTGGTGTCGGGATCCCAAACTTTACTTTCCGGGCTTTTTCAAGGTGCTAGTTTTGGCCCTCCCTTAAATTTACATATTTTTAGTTTTTTACTTGTGGAAGTCTTTCGATTTTGACAGTGCTTTAGTTGGATAATCTCGCCCATTCCAATTTGCTTTTCTCCCGCGTGTTCTTGCACGTTTAGCGATGCGGCACACTCACGTTTTTGGTGCGGGGATCCCAAACATTGCTTGCCTTTGACCTTGGCTAGTTTTGGCCCTTTCCCAAATCTACACACATAGTTATTTCTGGAATAATTTAAGGGAATTTGATGCACTTTTCAATCAACATGACCATTCCGCACAAATCAGCAGCTCCATTCATGGGCAAACGGGTTTCGGGCCAGTTTTCCTTCACTCACCCCACCACGCTGCTTTGTCGCTATTTTTTTTTGCTCTCGTCCCAATTTGCACGCGGCTAGAACGCGGAAGAAGGTCTTTGAAAGGGAACACTTGCTACGCAGGCTATCTAAGGACCCATTGACTGTCTTTTCTAAGAAAGTGGATATTGTCTAATGAGATTTGCCGGGAAAGCGCGAAGCGCGATACACGAGCGCTTGATTCCTTCCTCGAAGGCTGCGTACAAGGAAATCAACAGGAAGCAAAGGCCGCGAGGAAAATGGTGAGGAGGAAACTGCCTGCACGGCTACCATGGAAATTTTAGCGCTGTACTAGATTTTATTAACACAGTTTAACAGCC